AGGGTTGAGACCGGTTGGATACTAATCAGAAATGGATCGCGCTTCAGAACTTTCTCCAAAGTTGGAATCATCACCCCATGCTTCGAAACATAAACTGGAAATACAAGGGGCCATGTCGTGGTAACGGTCAATCCATGACTTGGTTCCTGCAACTCAGCTTGTTCTTGTTCTTCTTCTGACCCTTCTGCTAACAACCTTTCTAGCTCCTCTAAATCTCTTTCTGGATTAAATTCTTCATCTAGCAACTTTAGCTTTTGTGACTCAGATTGATCTTGTTTGTTAGTCAAGAAGTTATCTAACCATCTTCCAAATTTCTTCAAGTCATCATATGAGTCATACTCCTCATCTTCTTGCTCAATTTCCAGTACTACTTCCTCAAGAAAAGTATCAAAAGCATCGAAATTTGGAAAATACATAAATAAAAATAAAAATTAAACTATATAAAAAAATAATCAACAAATAAAATAAAAAATGATAACAATTAGCAAATAAAATTAACTATTTAGAACCGTTCCTCGGTAACGGCGCCAAAAACTTGATGTGTGTTTAACCAACTAATTTTAATCCTTTTAACTTAAACACAAAGACAAACACACGAAAGGCAGTGTACCTATCGATTAGCAGCTTAGTTCAGGTAAGTAAGGTATCAAACACAGATAACAGTAAACAATTAAAATAAATGCTAATATTATCTGAATAAAACAAATAATAGAAAGGGGGGTTTCTCTAGTTTTACAAGACTAGAAACTTAAATAGACTAACAAACACACAATTTAACTAACTAACAGCTAAAGCAAGTAAATACCACTAAATTCAATAGTTAAGAGGACTTCTGTTTAGGTTTGAATGATTTGTTCCCATGGATGATTTTATGGTAAATGCATCGGATTAATTCTTCATTGGTTACCGATTAAAGTGATTAGGTTCGCATTCGCTATTGCTAATCCTTAGAAAACATATTAATTCAAGCAATGGCCAGTTGTCTAAATTAATGAATTTCCTAGTTTATTGATTCGGGTTAAGTAAGACTTGTAATTATCTAATCAAATTGGTGATTCAATTAACCTCTTGTTGATGGTGTATCACACAAGCTCACACATTAATTTACCTATCTTCAAGTTATTTCTAGTTTAACATTCGTTATTCCTAGACATATAACTATGTGGTCACATAAATCATATGAAATTCATAATTAAGAGATGTTCATCCAACTTAATTACTGATTTATTAACAGAGAATAGTTGTTCTTAACATATGAGGTTCTTTAACAAGCTTAACAAAACAATATCACCAATTAAAATTAATCCTAACCATAAAATCAATCCATGTTCACAAACTCATCTACCCTAAACAGAAGTTATGAATTTTTAGCTCATGATTACAGCAGAAACAAGCTCAAAAACAAAATTAATTGGTAAAAACATAGTTAAAACAAGAGATTAGGTAAAGCGTAAACTTGTTTTTGCATTGATTATCCTTAAAATTGAATATAAGGTTGATTCATTCGCTTCCCACGCTCCAGCAGCACCTTTAGTCGACAATTGGCCTCCAAGGGTTCATTTATATGCTAGGGGATCGGGTAGGAATGCCCTTTATATAGATTTTCACAAAACAGAGGTGACTCGTCTAGTCCAGTGACCTACTCGGCGAGTCCGTCACTTAAAACCCGTGTGCGGCAAGTCAGCGACTCCAGAATCACGAAAGTTCGACGTGACTCGTCGAGCCTGTTTGGAATCAACATTTTCTCAAAACACGAAAGTCGTTCGAAATTGTGTCTAGTTTTCAGAACACTTTTAATCTCATCAATCGGAGTTACGATTCATGAGATATGGTCAAACACCGACGAGGGGTCAAGCTATCCAACAACATCCTTCTTTCTTCAAAATCCAAGATCCAAGCCTCCAATCACTAGTTCCGCTTCCTTTTCCATCCGAGCATTTCATTTTTTCTGAAAAATGAAATTATAAACTAATTAAGCACCTTTTGTTCATTAAATGAGATAAAATCAACATAAAGTATTAAGATATTGCATGAAATTTGTAACTAAATATGCCCATATCACTTTACGTGCATTATGGGCCCTAGGAGGCTAGATCTATGTTTTGGATGTGTTGAAGTCGACTGAAATCAACAGTTTGGACTTGGACTTTGGGGGACTCGGCGATTCGTCCATGGGACTCGACGAGTTGGGGTATGGTTCCCCAACCCTTTTTTGTTTTAATCGAACTGGTTGAGTCTAGAAGAGGACTCAATAGGATAGATGTGAATCTGGACCTGGAAATCATGGAACTTGATGAGTTCAAGAACAGAACTCGGCGAGTTCAAGGCAAGTCCCAACTGCATGAAGGCGTACTCGACGAGTTCATAAGGAACTCGACTAGTCCATGGTTGAATATGTCTTCTTGCATGAAGAAGGACTCGGCGAGTTCAAGGATGAACTCGGTGAGTCAATTAAAGAAGGTCCCGACTGTGTAAGAAGTAGAAGTCGATGAGTACATGCAAGACTCGGCGAGTAGATCGAAGTCTTAATGTTTTTAGGAATAGGAGACTCAGCGAGTTGTGAGGTCAACTCGGCGAGTCGAGTTAACCAGAAGTTGACTTTGACCCAGAGTTGACTTTGGCCAAGGTTGACCTTGACTTTGGCTTTGACTTGAGTAACCCTTATAGAGGTTAAGAATATGTAATGGTAAATTAAGGAAGGTTGTTATGTGTAGGAGTTTAGAGGAGTTGATCCCGACATCGAGTACAGTTCAGACTTCACGACAACATTGAGGTGAGTTACCTTCCAGTAGAAGTGAGTCTAAGGCCACAATGTTATCCCACAAGTAAGAGCTTGTAGTTGGATGATCGTATGTGTGATAATTGTTTGGTGTGCCACTATCTGTTATGTTCTATGTACCTATATCTTATGATTCTATGTGGTAGTGGTAGGGGTGAAATAGTTCCCGATATCCGGTTGAAATAGACTGAAGGGGAGGCCAACACCCAGATAAGCCAGGCATTTATCCGGTTGGAAGAGACCGAATGGGAGGCCAACACCCAGATATGCTAGGCAATTATCCGGTTGAAATAAATCGAACGGTAGACCAACACCCAGATATGCCTGGCAGTAGGGATGAGCATTAGAACCGCCGGATCGGAACCGGAACCGGAATTGGTAATTAGGTCCGGTTACCGGTTCTTCATTTTTATGAAAACCGGTCCCGGTTCTAAAAACCGGAACCGGTTTAACATTTTTTCCGTTTTTTAAAATGCGCATAACTCACTCATATGAAATCGGAATTATTTGATTTTTTTTCCAATATTTAATTTGGATTTTGTAATTCATTTTCGACTATACACACATATGTTTTGGTTAGATATTGAATCGGATACAAGCCCCGAAAGAAAGAATATTGATGCTGCGTTTTTTCTATTTCAACATTTTTTTTTTGTTTTTTTGAATTTGTCCTATTTTTTTAAATGAGCATAACTCATTCATATGACATCGAAATTACTTAATTTTTTTTCCAGCATGTAATTTGATGTTTGTAGTTCATTTTAGACTATAAAAACACTTAATTTGGTTAGATATTGAATCAGTTATAGACCCCGGAAGACAACATATCAATGCTGCGTATTTTCTGTTTAAGCATTTTTTTGGAATCTGTCCAGCTTTTATAATTCGCATAACTCACTCATATGAAGTCGGAATTACTTGATTCTTTTTCCATCGTGTAATTTAGTGTATGTACTTCAATTTAGAATGTAAAAAGTCTTAACTTTGTTAAGTATTGAATCATTTACAAGCTCCGGAAGATAGCATATCATCTATAATATTTCAACAGGTTCTAATTTGAAAAATAACCGAAAAACCGGGACCAGAACCGGAACCAGCGCTAGAACCGGCGGTCCGGTTCCCGGTTCTTATAATATAGGAAAACCGGTTCCGGTTCCGAACCGGTCCGGTTCTAAAGCTCATCCCTACCTGGCAGTATGTGTTATGTATGATATGTGGTATGACGGGGGAACTTACAAAGCTTTGTGCTTATGATTTATAGTTTTGGTTTCAGGTACCTCTTCATCGAAGGGGAAGGAGCTGACACGGTAGCAGTGCATCGCACACACACTATTTCCGCATTTTGAGTTCCATGAGATTGTACTATGATATTATTACTATTGATGATATGATTTTGAGATATGTGATTATGGTTTTATAGTTTTATATGATATTGATGATGTTTTTCAGTAAGCGGTTTTATAAGTAACATAATTAAAAACGAAATTTTTGATCTCGAAAAATTGGGATGTTACATAAATCATGGCAGTGAGTGTTAACGAATGCTAAATTCGAAAAGAAACAGCAAAAATATGATTGAGAAAATGATGGTTGAGTGAGCCATTTTGGTGGATGATTTGTGAGAATTGAAAATTGAAGAAAAACATTTTAAGAGAGTACAAAGAAGATGTAGCAGGTATGTCGAAAATAATGCCTAACAATGTTATGTTAAACTTCCAATTCAACCATTAAATGAGCAGCCATTCTATACAATATAATTAGTGATTAAATAACTCTATAACTCAACAATTTTATAAAAAGAAGACAATAAAGGAAAAAAGAAAGAGCACCTTGATATACAGAGCATTGATACCTAAATTTATTTCCTTCGTTCGATTTAGTGAGGTAATTGAATTGTGTATCTTCTACCTCAATTTCAGTTGAGACATTCTGCTTCTACTTTTCCGTACCTAAAACTTATTTTAAAAATAATCTAATAAGAAAATTAATCTGAAATTAAAAGGAAAAAAATTATTTAAAAGAAATTAATAATTTAATAAAATAATATTTATTAATATATAAATATTATATATTATAAATAGTATTTATTGATATATAATTATTATTGAAATTTGTCCTTATAAGAAGTTGTAAACTTTTATCTGATTTTTCTTTATTATTTTATTTTGTTATTGGATTTTAAACAGTAGACATTTGGAAATTGAGGTAGTCCATTCGAAGGCCCGTTACGATATCCAAATATATTTATTGATTCATGGGATCCGAGTCCGGTCCAATGTTGCCTACTTTTCTATCTGTAAAATAGATTTCTTGGAGAGAAGGGAACGAGAAAGAAGAAGCAAATACCGAGAAAAACACAGAGAGGAGTTTTGGAGAAGAAGGTATGGATCCCAAGCTAACCGAGGTTTCACAGCTCTTTGAACGATTCAAAGCCGCGTTGGTTCGTAATGATTTCGATACTTGTTCGAAGCTTCTCTCTCAGCTCAAGGTACCCGCAATCATAAACCCTAATTATACTTGCCGTTTTTTTTCGTGTTCCCTAGATTGTTATTATGTCTTCATGTTTGATGTGATCCTTGTATAAATTACAACTTGAGTAAATTCATTAGCACAAACTGAGACTTTCCGGCTGTTGTTAGCAGATATAGATATAAAGCCACAATTTAGATCTAAGAAATGGTATCGTTCGTTTGTAGTTGAGAGTCTTTTCTTAGACTTAAGATGCCATTGCAGTTAAGGAGTTATTTTTACTAATAAATTTTGATCGAGCTCCAGGGAGTCATTATATATGACTATGGATCGTATTCTCTTTTTATTATTCTAATGACAATATGAAATAGAACCCTGGAAGGGCTGATGTGCTTTTGGATAGAAATACATACTAGGGTAACACTCGACATATAATCAAATGTCTATAATCCTTCTTGATTCTTGACTTGCAGATCTTGCTGATAGAATTCAAAAGCCTTCCTCCATTGTTTGAAGAAACTCCTAATGCAGTTCAAGAGCTAACCATAGCAAGTAAGTGTTCAACAGCTTGCATTTCTTTTCACCTTCCTTCACTCTATTGAGATCGTGGTACATTTAATTCATATTACAAGCATATAATTTGATCAATCATCAATTTCAGGGGATATCTATGAGCATGCTGTTGTGCTTAGTGTAAAGATGGAAGATCAAGATGCATTTGAGAGAGATTTCTTCCAGCTGAAGCCTTACTATACAGATGCTGGGTATTTATACTTTGATCTAATCTATTTTTTTTTCTTATGAATCTTTCTGTTCCTAAATCATTGGTCATAACTCATTTTTATTTTATTGTTGGAAAAACAGTAATCGCCTTACACAATCTCCCCAAGAGTACCCAATCTTGGGTCTGAATCTTTTGAGACTACTTGTTCAGAACAGAATTGCAGAGTTTCACACTGAATTAGAGTTGCTTTCAGCCAATGCTCTTGAAAACACTTGTATCAAGCATGCAGTGGAGCTTGAGCAATCATTCATGGAAGGTGCTTACAATCGAGTATTGACTGCTAGACAGACTGTTCCTCATGAAACTTATGTTTATTTCATGGATCTTTTGGCAAGAACAGTCAGGTGACAATTGTTGGAAGCATTTTCACTTCTTTTTTTTATTGAGAGTTTTTTTAACAGTAATTATGACATGATTTTATATAATTCATTTGTAGGGATGAGATTGCTGGGTGCAGTGAGAAGGCGTATGACTCCCTCACTGTTAAAGATGCACGAGAAATGCTATTGATTTCCTCAGATCAAGAACTTTTTGATTACATCAAAGAGGTTCCATTTTTTCTTTTATCTTTTTTTGTTAAAAGACCAAAGTACCCTTGTTACACATACATATTTATTGGAACTCGATATTCGTTCCATACTTGGTTTGGTTGTCAAATGGACAGAGTTCAATTCCGTAGCTTCTTTTAGATTTTTCCATGTTTGATGGGTGGAAGGAATTTATTTTCTGTTAAAAGACCAAAATACCCTTTGATAAAGTATGAATTGAAATGAAATGTGCAGGAGCATCCAGAGTGGGAGGTGAAGAATGGATTAGTTGTATTCCAGAAGGCTAAGGAATCGGCTCCATTCAAAGAGATTCCATCTCTCCAGCTTATTAACCAGACTCTCAGCTACGCAAGGGAATTAGAGCGCATTGTTTGATTAATAAATCAAAACCTCAAAAACATTTCTTAATTTCAAAAAAAAAAATGTTATTTGTTTTTTTAAAACCACCTCATGTTGTACTAGACTATTAAATTGCGTGAACACTGAACAACATCTGCATTTGGTCATTTGAAACCTTGTGGCTTATTCTTGATTGCCTTCACGGGTTTTCACTGTTTTTACCTACCACTACTAACCTTTTTATGAACTAATTGTTTTAAAACAAAAAAGAAATGAAACCTGATTGGTGTATTTAAAACATGTGGATTACATCATTTTATCTCATTTGATCTTTACAAACATGGTAGACTTTTAATCGTTTGTTACGTGATACCTGAAAATAATAAACACGCTAAAAAAATGGAAAAATATTCTTACCTAGAAAGACAAAAACTATAAATTTTGTCCTAAATCGAGGACTTTAATGAAGATGGTATGAAACAAGTTTTTTATTATTGATAATAATGTTAACGAATTTGATAATGAAATCTCAACAAGAAAATGGCATTTAATATCTAGATATTATTGCCTTTTTGTGGTCCTCTTAGATTAGATTTCCATGATACATGCATTTTCATTAGTAATACACCTATCAACTTCATTTTTTTTATATTAAATTCCGTTCTTTTCTCCTTCACAGGCCTTAAAATGTTGACATTTCAGACTACAAAGCCCTTACTTTCTTGCTTATTATACCTTTTTATTCATTTTTTATGCGGAAAATATTACATCAATACACCATGTTCGTAGTTTAGTTGATCTAACATCACCATATTGAGTTCAAAATTAATTTATTTATCCATCAAAATCCCTCTTTTCATGTTGATATTACGTATGATAATATGATATTACCCAGTACTAGTGTGCGATAATATCAATGTGAGTTGCCTCCAAAACCAGCCATCCATAAGCCACCAAAAGTTGCTGTAATCAAGTCCCACCATTTGTTTCTATTATCCATCTTTAATTTGTCCATTTTTTTATAGCCGACACTTTATTAACCCTCAATAACACCCCATTCTTTGATTGCCAACTCTCATTTCACCACATTTCAATAAAACCCCAAATCTTCTGTGATTTTTTATTCAAAAAGAATTTTGGGTTTCAGTGTGTGTGCGTGTTCTTGGTGTTTATGGAGGCTATGGATGGATCATCTCTGTTAAATGATCTTCATCCACCTTCAAATCATGATGAAATCTTCATGCAACGCAGCTTGGTCTTTGCTGATAGTCTAAAGGTTAAATTCTTTTTAACATATTCAACACGTTAACCGGATTCTTTTATAACGTAAGGAAATGAACTTTATAGGATTTGAGGAATATAAGAATGCAGTTGTATTCAGCTGCAGAGTTTTTTGAAGATTCGTATCACAAAAGTGATCATGATGAATTGTAAGTAGATTATGAAATCGAAAAACTGACTTTTTAAATTCTAGTTTACTTTCGTTGTTTTGACAAGTCATGTGCTGCTTTCTTGTAGATTGTTAGAAAGCTTAAAAGATTATGTGTCAAAAGCTCTGGTTAGCACCATTGACCATTTGGGCTCTGTGTCGTCTAAAGTCAACAATTTCTTGGATGAAAATCTCGATGAAGCTTTTGAAACAAATCTTCAAATATTATGCATCGAACAGGTAACCAAGACAATTGTTCTTCGTTTTCTGTTCGTATGTTCATATGTCATGTGTCTGAATAGTGAATCCTTTTGGAAATTGTTGCAGAGATTACGAACATGTCAAACGTATGGTGACCACGAAGGTCTTTTGCAACAATCATTGATGATACAAATACCCAAATACCATAAGCAGTATCAGCTCCCAGGTAACTGTACATGAATCGCTTTTGTGTAGTTTATGTATTCTTCTGAGTTTTAATGGCGAACATTGGTTTTAACGAAAAGTTATTGACACAGATGGACACTTTTGTGAAGCAGTTGAAGCAGAAAAAGCAAAAGCAGAATTATCAAGTTCGAGGTAAATTTCAGTAAAACTGTAGAGTATTAGAAGTTAGAGGTGAAAAGCTGTTAATGTTGATAACTAACCTCCATTGGAGCTCCACCAAGTTCATGTTGATGGAATAAAATTGTTTGTCAGGAGGAGGGATATGGAACTAGCTTCTATTGATTTCCGATCAGGTCCGATTGCATTTTCATTCGCAAAAGCTGCATTAAACAAGGGATTAGGTAAACAAAGAACAGAGTTTTTTCCGTCTTCAAACTTCATATACTAATTAGGGTTTATCTGATTACCAGAAAAACGAGCACGATCCATGTCACCAAGTCGATTCAGAATCAAGCGCACAGGTTCTACTACTAATCGATCCGCCAGTCCGAGCTTTCCGATCATGCGTTACGGATCCGTTGTTCATCAATCCATCAGTCCAAACACACAGCAAGTAAGCGAAAATGAAGCCGATTATAGTTTATTTTCTTTTTTTATATATATAATGTGAATCGTTCAGAAGTTATAGGAAGTTGATTCGTATGATTGCAGAGTCCGGTGGAGGCGTGGAGGTCTCAATCGTTGTATCCTGAAAGAGAAAGAAGAAAAGATATGGAAGTTTACTCCAGGAAAACTAGAAACCTTTTTAAAGCGTTGCTTAGCATGCATAAACACAAGAACGAGTATAAATAGCAATATACATATGTCTTATTGTCTTTTCTTCACAAGTTTAGAACCCAAAAAAAATAGCATTTAAGGTTCCGATAAAGAAACAACATGAAGGAAAAATGGAATTTGCGGGATTGAGGATGAGATGGACATACCATTTACAGATAAATGCAGGGAAGAAATATTATAATGGTTTGGTTATGTTCAAATAAGGCAGCCACGGAGACATTAAGCAGCAAGGAGGAAGTGAGAAAAGAGTTTTGAGGTTGGACATGGAGTTTAAACTTTTTGAAGACTTTTACCATCTTTATGTAGATTTAGATACCAATATACTTATGTGCGTCTTTTTATTATATATTTGTATGTATGTATGTATGTATGTGTATATATTGTATTTATCTTTTTTTTTCATGTGTTTGGCACGTTATTTATCTTCTCAAAGGTCTCACTTGAAAGAAGTTTATCCACCCTAGTGGGGTAAGAGTCTAAGTTTAATCTTCACTTATCCTACGACCTTGTTGGATTTGGATTTTGTGTTGATTAGAACAGAAATACTCGATAAGAAAGACTAGAGTTTATTCGATTTATGAGAAACACATTTTCATACTGGGTTTGGTGGTAAGTGGTCAAACCTGGTTTTCAAAGTCAAATGCAATTATGCAAATGCTAATAATTAAGCGTAGAAGAAGTTATTCCCAAGCATACATTAATATTTAATTCTGTCAAACTGTGGGATTTCAGTTCCAACATAGACGCAGTCGCGGGTATTGGAGACTAGTCAGAGACAATAAATTGTAAAAAATATTGATTTTAAAGATATTTATAGATTACCACTGTTACAAAATATGAAAATAACCAAAAAAAAGTCATGCCAGGAGTTTAGATATTTTAGTCATCAAATATCATAAACTAAGTTTATAATAAATTGAATAAACTCAAATATAAAAACTATTTCAGAAAACCCACCAATAATATATTAATAATAATTAGAGAAATTTCATGAAATAACCAAAAGTTAAGGGGCATTTTAAGGAAATAACCATGAAGTTTTAAGTTTTGAAAAATGATCATGAGATCCGCAAAGGTGGCTATACGGATCTATAGGTCTGACAATCGTGTCGTGTTCGGGTTGGAGGGCCACGGGTTGGCGGGTCCAAATTTGTCAACCCAAACACGACCCATTTAAATATACAGATTACAGATTGGCAGGTCACGGGTTGGCGGGTTTGGAACATAAACTCATATATAACCCGCCAACCCATTTATTTATACGAGTTTACAGGTTGGCAGGTTCGTGGGTCAGATTTGTATTCGTGGGTCAGATTCCATAAATAAAATTAACAATTAAATATGAATAAATTATTGATGGTTGATGCAAACATATCCGAATTTTAGACACTTGCCTACTTAAGTCTTAAACATCCAAATTAAAATTAAAAATATTCATAGAAATATGTTCAAACTAAAAATTAATACAAACATAGATAATACTTATTATATAATACTTATTAAATATTGATACTTGATACATAAATACATTTAAAAGTAAAAAATATTTTTTATTGAAAATATAAACGGTTTTGCGGGTCAACCCGTTTATTTTTAGAGAAACTCATATATGACCCGTTTAATAAACAGGTTGGCGGGTTAAAAAACTCAACCCAAACCCATTTATTTCGTGTGGTGTTGCGGATCGTGTCGCAGGTCGTGTTGAGAACTATCAGCCCTACGGATCTATTTAATCCTTTGAGGAATGACACATAATAATGAGGAAACGACGTGGCAACACTAAATGACAAAAAAAAAATTGTGGCTAGAATGGTTCTGCATATGTGGCTCTACGGATCCATTGTACACTTCTACGGATCTATAATATCTTTGAGGAATTGGTAGTTGACCAATTTTACCTTGTTTTTGCCAATTCCTCAGAGGATTATAGCTATTTACAGAGATGTGCAATGGATCCGCAGAGCCACTCAACTAACTAGATAGACTAGGATGACTGTTTATTTTTAACCACTTGCTGAGTTCAAGTTCACATATCTGATTTACTTCTAACATTTCACATGATGATAGGCCTTTAACCCGGACATAGAAGATACTGCCACCACAACACAACCAAACAAAGCTTTTAAGCTGTTTTTATGATAAAGACGTGAGATGTGAAAGCAAGTAATCCATGTCCAACATTGTTCGAGTGCATACCAAACACATTACAGTCTTATCGAATTCGCCTTTTGTAAATCCATGACATGAGCAATTTGGTTTTACAATAGCATCTTCAACAACAAGAATCAAGAAAAACAACATTTTCAGAGTTTTAACAAAAGAGCAACTTTTGTGCACAAATCCAATACAAAAACTTTATTTAAAAAAAATAAAATCCAGAGTA